TAAAAAAAGAAAACACTGAAGACTATTAAGAATGTGAGGATGGTGCTTTGGAGCAATATTAAACATGTCTATTGTTGACAGTATAATAAGGCAGTTTAATTGTGATAGTTTCAATTTTTGACTACAAATTGATTGAACTCTATATGGAAACTTATTCTGAAATGGTAAGACTTTCTAGACAATTGCTTTTAGATATTTAATACAACTTTGCATCCTTCATAAAATAACATGTGTCTCAATGATTCTCTCTAAATTTTCACATTCTTTTGTAGTACATGTATGGAGATTTTTTAGCTAATTCATTTGAAACCGTTAAAAGGTAACAATAAAAAATGATAACTTGACAAACAGTTAACATTTTATTTCATTTTTTCAATGGGTTTATATAAGATTAACCTTAGTAATTTAGGAAAAAATGGTAAATTTTCAAGAAAAATAAACTTTTGTGCAATATAAAGGTGCAATGTACATGTACATTGTTAGTCTTTAAAACAGCAGTAAAGCATGTGCAAGCAAATGGCATACTAAATACTTCTGCTGCATTTCTGATAAACCTGGGCATTTTGATTGTCCAATGCAATGCTAATACAATTAGAACTGTCAGTACTATATATTATCATGATAATTAATTATAGAACAAGATCTCATCCTTTTGATAAAAATTTTCTTCTAATGAATTCTTTTAATGAATTTTCTTTTTATGCTATCAAATAATTATGAAAGGAGTAAATGCACACCTGGAAAGTTCATTGTAAAAAGCGGATGTTGTCCTATAACTACATGTAGTAGCTCCTTTGGAGTTGTTGATTCTTTATATTATAAAATAATAATTTAAGATTTGCATCGATTCAGAGTCTTGAAAGTTAACGGAAATAATCAACAGTTTTTAAAATGTGGTTACATGTGACCATCAGAATATGTATTTCTTAAAAAGATACATCTTGGATGTGTTTTCTACCAATAACTTCCAAACTTGGGTTCAAAATTATTTCCAAGAGAAACACTAAAATGATTACTTGAAATCTAAATCAAATAAAGAGATATGATAATGAAGAAGATATAATTTTGGTCTATTAATTTATATTATAAGTTCTAGACTTTTGCATGATACCTTGCTTGTTTGCTTGATTTTTGATATAGGGATGAGTTAATTTAAAAAGTTTCGAGCAAAGCGAGGTATAAGGGAAATTTTATTACAATATGTGCAGGACGAATTTCTTTGAAGATTGCTTAGTTTTTTTCTTTAACTTTTTTGTTCTTTTTGGACAGGTTGGTGAGAGAAAAAAATTATTTAAAAGCTCGTGGGCACGTGTCTGTTACAATCCCCCCCCCCAACACACACGTGGACCCTCATTCTTTCTAACTATGAGCACTGCTTACTTCACCAAAAATGAAAATTAACCCTTCGAACGACTTTTAAACTAATTTCGCGTCAAACCTGAAAGCGTCTGGCGAGGTTCATTTTCGTGCGGGAAAGATTAACCCATTTTATTTTAGTTATAAAAAGTCCAGTAGTAACTTTGCATTAGAAGCTCCGTCATTGCTACAGTTGTGCCGTCACGCTGCAAAAGCACAACCAAAAGCAATCTAGGTTGTTCAACAAGCTCAAAATTCATCGTGTCTTCTGACTGAGTATGAGGAGTTATGATTTATTTCCTTTGACTTATTCTGATAGGAAGAGGTATTTGGACGAGAAATCACTTTATGACGAATCAAATGCGGTTTGTTGTTCTTGTAGATTTTCTTTATACCCAACACAGTTGAAAGTGCGACTCATTAGGGCTTGGTTGATTATCAGATAAAAACACTGCGTACTGTAATTAACAAAACATGCTCACCAAGTACATGTATACATTGATTACTAAAAATATATTAATAGATAAAAATTATAAAACTTATAATGTATTTTGCGTACGTTTTCATTGAAGATCTTAACAGAGTTTTCATTAATGATGGTCGTTTCTCATCCACACCATTACCGGTACATGTATGTTGATTTCTTACGGCAAAGTCAGCCTCGGTACACATAAACACATTCACCATACACNCAGAGTGACATTCAAAAGCTACACTCTCCCTAACACAATTAAGTGTACTAGCCTTCGATATATCATTATCAGTTACGTATAGGTGGCTTACTCCTAGATCACTAAATTTACCTTTAACCCTAGTTATCCAATTTTTCTTTCCATTGTTTGATACACGTAAACTCCATAAAAACACCTTTTTAGTCAACCTATTACAAACCATATTAGCTAATCTACACCAGAAATTTGTCACTTTAATTAACTGCTTTTCAAAAGGCAAAATCCATCCCATTTCAGCACGGGTGGCAGCGGCTGGCGCGTACCTACCCACGCCCAAAAAATACCTACAAGCTCTATTGAAAACAGCATTAATCTGACTAAATTCCTGGAGTCCCCATATAGCAGAACCATATTCTAACACAGGAGCTACAAGTGCATCGTATAATCGTAAAGCATGCATAGGGCATGCCCCCACAAGCCTTGCATTTTGCAATCAGAAGACCTAAAGCTCTGCTTGCAGACTTAGTTATACATGATACAGTCTTATTCACATCAAAGTGTTCAAAATACCACATACCCAAGTATTTATATTTCTCAACAATGTTTACTATAAAATTGCCACATTTAAAAACATAATTTGTTCTAGGTATTTTAGGTGACCTAAAATGAACTATCTGGGTCTTGTCCACATTCAGAGTCAACTGCCATTTATAACACCACTTGTGCACCACATTAAGCATTGACTGTAAATCTTCCTCATTCTTGGCCAAAAGCACAACGTCATCTGCATAAAGAAGCGAGCAAATCAGCTCATCGTTCACATTAATGCCTTTACCCAGAGCTTTCAGATCATGTACCATATCATTAATGTAAATGTCAAAAAGTAAAGGTGACAACAGGCACCCTTGTTTTACTCCAGTTTCAATATCAAAGAAACCTGTTGTATAGTTATTTACCCTAACACAGCACGTTGGGTTATCATATAAAGCCTGGAGGGAATTCATAAAATTTCCGCATATTCCTAGTTTAAATAATTTATACCATAAAAGAGACCTATTAATTCTGTCGAATGCTTTTCTTGCATCGATGTAACAGGCATATATGCTCTGCTTTTGCTTTAAACTATTTTCTATTATACTGGACATTACATACATGTGATCTAAACACCCACGGTCTTGTCTAAAACCATTTTGCTCGTCAACTATTATTTCATTATCTTCTGCCCACTTCGATAATCTCCTATTCAGAATAGATGTGTATATCTTATATATGCTAGATGATAATGTTATTCCTCTATATTCTAGTGGGTTGCATGAATTAACACCACTACCTTTCGGTATGGGATTAATGACAGACCTAAGCCAATCACTAGGGACCACAGAATTAGCAAAACAGTACTTAAACAGATTGTACAAAAATATAATAGTTGTATTGTTTTTTAAGACCTTCGAAGGCAGGTCATCAAGCCCGGGGCTTTTACCACACTTAGCACCATTAACTGCAAGCTCAACTTCTTTAAACGTAATATCAGTGTTAAGACTGGCACTCAAATCTGGTGTATCAAGTTCACCCTGTCTATAACTATAAAGTTTCTCATTAACCTGGGCTAAGAAAGATTTATCAAAACTATCACAATTTTTATCTGACACACTGAATAGACCTGCATAGTCATTTTGCCATTTCAATAAAACCTCAGTGATATCCGTGGAGACAGATCCATCATCTCTCACTACTTCCATGGGAATGGTACTTTTTCTATCCTTCTGAATTCCGATGCGACCAATATCTCTCCAGAAGTTCCGTGGATCACTGGTTTGTTTTTGTAAGAGTTCTTCTTGCGATTTACGCCAAAACTGGCGTTTAGCTCGTTGTTTAGCATGGTCAAAATCACGCCGTTTGCTTACATAATCATTTTTTAAAAATATGGAACGCTTCACGAATGTGCGTGTCATCCTTGCGCCAGGGGCCATGCTAATCTTCTCTGTATCGTTCCAATTTTAGTATATGTCCCACCGTAGTGAGGACATGAGCACTGCTTACTTCACCAAAAATGCAAATTAACCCTTCGAACGACTTTTAAACTAATTTCGCGTCAAACCTGAAAGCGTCTGGTGAGGTTCACTATTTAGGGGCTTTGATTAAGGTATTTGATAACCCGCAAGAAAACGCAGTAGATACTCCAGCGCAGTAGACTACTGCAATCATAATGCAAACATGCTTCAAATCTGCTTCGATTAGGGAGCTAATTAGCATATTTGAAACATGCTTCTATCATGCTGCTAATCTACTGCATTAATGCTCCTCTCTGTACAAACCTATGTACTTTTTGGAGTAGAATTGCAGTAGGCTATGCTGCATTTCTACTGCAAATATGCTCCACACCACTACTGCGTTAATGCTTCTTTTCTACTTCGATACTACCGCATTTTCGTGCGGGAAAGATTAACCCATTTTATCTTAGTTATAAAAAGTCCAATAGTATCTTTGCATTGGAAGCTACGTCATTGCTACAGTTGTGCCGTCACGCTGCAAAAGCACAACCAAAAGCAATCTAGGTTGTTCAACAAGCTCAAAAGTCATCGTGTCTTCTGACTGAGTATGGGAAGTTATGATTTATTTGCTTTGACTTATTCTGATGGGAAGAGGTATTTGGACGAGAAATCACTTTAGGACGTTCGATATGACGAATCAAATGCGGTTTGTTGTTGTTGTAGATTTTCTTTATATATACCCAACACAGTTGAAAGTGCGACTCTTTAGGGCTTGGTTAATAATTGGCCTATCAGATAAAAACACTGCGTACTGTAATTAACAAAACATGCTCACCAAGTACATGTATACATTGATTACTAAAAAATATATTAATAGATAAAAATTATAAAACTTATAATGTATTTTGCGTACGTTTTCATTGAAGATCTTAATAGAGTTTTCACTAATGATGGTCGTTTCTCATCCACACCACTACCGGTACATGTATGTTGATTTCTTACGGCAAAGCGAGCCTCGGTACACATAAACACACTCACCATACCCTCGTGTTGAGATGACATTAGGCCTAATTAATTTGCAGCAGCAATGTAAGAAGGGAAATTTATAATTTTGACGACAAAGCCGTCGTCATCTACTGAAAACTCATACACATGCGGAGAATCAAGATGGACAAGATATGCACCACCCTTGTCCAATGGATCCCGTTCCGTTGCCTTCGGGACTGACATCGAAATAATATTGCCTTTGACATCCCGTTCGAGGTCTACGTCAAAAGAGTAGACGTCGCCTTTTTTGTTGTGCATCCAGAAACGTGTGGTGTCGCCCCCTACTGAGTAGTATTCAGCCAGCAGGAGAATCTGGTTGATGCTTTCCTTGTACCCGTCCAAGAATCGTTCAACTGCAATATCGAGAAGCATTTTGGAATCTTGGGCCCAGCACTGCGCGATGGAGGCGAAGTACTCATTTGGGCTATTAACGATTACGACGCCAGGGTTTACATTTGTTATAATATCATACTTATAGTTTGCTGCTTCTGGAACCCATTTTCCATCAAAGTACCTCTTTATAACGACTCCAAAGTTATCCGTGTCAGCGTTTAACCAACCTTGAGCCTCGAAGTGATCTATGGTAGCGCCTTTGTCTACTTCCCGGTTTTCTTTCCACATGATGTCTGGGCAGTCCTTTAGCACCCTGTGCATCAAGATGAGTTTTCGTGCTCTAAGGGCCTCGGTGGAAGATACACTGCCAAGATTGGTAATGGAGTTGTGCGCCAATTCATGCGCTATGACAGAGATGTGCATATTCCCGAGTATGTTTCCATGCGTTTGACACACCCTGCAGCCTGGTAGACTGGCTTTATTGATACCGGAGTTTTCGGCTTTGCAGAATATATTAACACTCGATTTTTTTAGCCAGCCCCAATGGTACTGCTTTGAGTCGATCACTCCAATACAGCCCTGTATGCTTATGCGTTCCACCCAAAAGTATTCTACTCGGAGAGATGCTGTGTAATCTCTAAGCATGCGGTTGGCTTCTTCGGTGGAGGCGTCGTTGTCGATCACCAGTATCCCGGAGCCCACTAATGTGTCGTATAGTGGACCTGTGTGGTTTGTCACCTTGGCCAACTCTGTTCTGTGTTCCACCGTGTCTGCCCTGCACTCTAGCAAAATGGTCCACATGTAACCACTGAAGTAGACTAGATATGGTGACTGGAACACTCTTCTGTGAAAGTAAAATTATCACTTAAAAGTCATGTACGTTGTTATACGAGTTTTGGTAGCCCAGCCCAAACTGTTACCGGAGTTTGTTATAGTATAGTTAGCTTTGATAATATAACTACATTCCATCGATTAAGTTACTGGCACCTATTAATCTTAAAATTCTATTTAATCTGTTAAGATTGAGATAATATAGATGATCAACTGACATGCTCAAAATTAAATTTATAAAAGTAAACTGTATGTGCATATACATACCGTTTAAGGTAATGTGGGTGTTTTTCTACCAGACTTGCCATCTTGTTGAAGAAATCGTCTTTGAAATACCCGGACGATGGCACGTTTGCGATTTCCAATAACCTGTCTTGTGCTCGCTGAAGGCCGAGGCTAACACCTGAGTCTTCTGCCATAACTATACCAAGATCTTCAGGATAGCGTTGCAAGATTCGATCTATAATTCCAATCAGTTCATTCACTTTGTTCAAGAGCGGTGCTCCCCAGAAAATGACCATTTTACCTCGAGATCCAGACACCAACAAATCGGCAATCCCGTCGAGATTGAAGTCTGCCACATCCGTCGACAGTTTTTTACCAACTTTGTCCGCCAGGAGGAATTTTTCACCGTCTATTACATAGTGGATACTTTCCTCGTAAGTTTCGCCAGAATTGTCAATTGACACGTACTGCAGCCCTGGTCCCGAATAATAAGACCCATATAGAATGTCTGGATTGCCGTCTTCATCCCAGTCTACAACACGAGGATGGGGCGCAGGCTCCGCAGTGCTATCAGGCTGGATGTCCACCCGCTCTTCCAGAAAGATCGGGGATGTTGGAGACCCTGTGTTGGCGTAAAATGCAAAGCGGCCTTCGTTCCGGCCGACAACAATGTCTAATAGGCCGTCGGCGTTCCAGTCAGCTACGTCAATTCGCACGTCTATCTCCTTCGGCATGTTCGGGAGAAGTACCACGGGTTGTGCGAAGGCTGGTTGATTTCTTGCTGAACCAATGTTTGGATAGTAGATCACCTTGTTGTGGTTGAAATAGATATTCCCAGCGACAACAATGTCCAGCTTTCCGTCGCCATTCATATCAGCACAAACGGCATAGGTGCGAAATTTGCCAACTTTCATGAACAGTTTATCCGCAGAATATGTCATTTTCGCGGGACTTTCGAAATGACCGGCACCCGCACTGCCAGAATTCTTCATTAGATACACGTACCCTTTGGCTCCAACTAAGATATCCACAAGGCCGTCGTCGTCAAGGTCACACACTGATGGATTGGCGCCACCGCTGAAGCTGATTGCCTCCCCGCTGTTTGTGTCGCTCACAGTTACATGTACATATTTTCCCTCTTCAAAGTCGGCGTTTAGGGTGCTACCTGTCATGGAGGTTGTATTATACCATCTGTGGAAGTGAAATGGATGGATTTGAAAGTTATTGATTGTTTAAACCATGGTAAAACTGGAATGGCAAACAGTTTTAAACTGTCATCAACGGGAGCGTCTAAAATCAAAGGCTTCAATTTCAGGACGCCTTGAAATCTGTTAGGCAGCGAACAGTAGTCGAAGTACGGCAAAGGCCGATCTGAAGAAGTATAGGTCTCAGCTTTTGACTACGAAATAAACTACGTACCTTACTTCTGAAACGCAGTCGACTGAACCAAGACCGATAAGCCCTGCACAGAGCAGCATTTTCCAGGTCTCCATGGTGTCCGCTTTCAAAGTGTAACTTCTTATGAAGAGACGTCAACGTCAACGTGTCAATCTACTGCCAAGAGGCGCGACTGTACTAAGAAAATTTTGGTCACCTGTATTTGTAGCACCTTAGGCAAATTAAGAGAGGGGACTTCAAATAGTTAATTAGGCTCTTGATGATCATGCTGTGCCAACACCTCTATTAAAAACCAATTTTCCCTGGCAAAGACCACAAATTGCCAGCATGGGAGTAATGAGGCTGAAAAGTCAGGCATCGGTCAGTAAATAATTTGATGTACTTTTTCTCTGATAACCATAACCTCTGGAATTGCATTTCCACCCTAGTTTTAACATAAGCTTGGTTGGTTCTTGTATTATTTGGCCCTGCACTGTTGGGAGCGGCAAGGAAGAAGGTTACAAGGCAAGGCTCTGAAGTCGAGTTATCGTGATTGATTCCTATTTCCTCCTCTAAAAAGTCAATTTTGTTTACCGATTCGAGTTTAAGACTGGGTTCCCATCGATCTATCTCCCTGGGGAGTCTCACTAAATTGTTATCAACTAACCGGCTTAAATGTCTTTCACGCCTACCAATCAGCTAGGGGGTAAAGATAATTACCCCCTTACAGCTTTACTGTGCGTGACAGACGTTTCAGCCAGCCAAGTTGACAATTTCAGTGCGACTCCCCAGAGAGATAGATCGATCCAAATATCTGTGGGAATGGTCCCTAAGGCACGTTTTGCACAACGGGATTCCCATAGGCACCCCAACTGCGCCTGTCCTAAGCAGCATGCCTTATGGTGACTTCAGCTGGACTCTTACGGGTTTAAGTTGGACCTGGTCTGAACGTTCAAGAGGATGGCGATAATGCAAAGCATTAAATTTCCATGAAATACTAAAACCCAGCAGGTAGAATGTTTGCCTGTTATGTTTACCAGACACTAAAAACCCAGCACGTAATTTTTACGTGCGTTTGTCAAATGCACAATAGACAACGTCTGCACGCTTCAGTCGCGCTCACACTAGGTTCAGATAGACCAACGCAGCGTCTGGCAAAACCACGCTAACAATGGCACATGCAATCAAGGTTTAAAGTGTCTTACTTGCTCTTAGGAATGCATGCTTTTCTAGTATTTATTGCGCTATGAGACTTCAGTTAATAACTAGAAAATATAAACAGCTTGTCGTAGCCGTTACATTTTTAGAATCGTTATTACTGTGAAGGTATGTTGAATAGGGAAACAAAATAGGCCCTACTACAACGCAGAAACGATATTGACTGCAGTTTGACCGCAGTGCGGTTTGGAGTAATAGGCGCTCATGTTCAGTATCAACAGATTGACATCCTTCATTATAGTAAACTTCATGTCGGAAAGTCAAGGACGCGACCTTTAACGTGTTGATAGTTATGAAAGATGCAATATTATATGAGTAGCTTTCGAAAACAGATATTGTATTTCCCATCAGAGACTATCAGTTCGTAACTTTATACTTTCAGTGTCAGTTGATTCTGTATTCTGATTAACTTTCTGAACAACAGTATTTTGTATAAGAATTTAGTGTTTTCAAATAACGACAGTTACCTTTACCCAAATGAAAAAGACCTTTGTGAACACGCGGGAGTTCCATTGCCCTGCCCTTTTAAGGCTCTCACAGAGGTAATCTACCAGCCTACCTTGGAGCCCTTACCCTTGATGCCTGTACTAACAACATAAGGTCATCAGAAAATAAGGTCTTTTGACATTGATGGCTCTATCGGTTCACTTATCCATTTAAAAGACGGATTAACATGTACAGGTAGTCTGGTATGTCTTGCGGCTCCTTGGTCTCTGATTTTGTTCCATCAAGTTCAGGGACGGGCAATCACGTACGCATATGCTTATACTTCAATAAATCTCGATAGACGGATAGATAGATAGACACAATGGAAGTTTACAGTTTTAACTGGCAATTACAGCCTAGCTAAAGTAGAAACGGAGAAATGTATGAAATGCATTTTATACAGAATTCTGTTAGACAATAAATTAATGATTGAACCTTGAGAATTGACTTCCTCAAAACAGACAGATAGCAAGAGAGAGAGAGAGAGAGAGAGAGAGAGAGATAAGAATCCCCTTTGTGAAGTGATTTTATTTTTTTTTTTTTTTTTGGGGGGGGGGGTTGTAATGCCGTAGTTTCTAAAAGTTGACCAATGATTTATTGTGAGTATGTAATAACAATGCTGCAAATCAAAATGACAAACGCATCATGCATATCAATGACAGAGACTGTTCACAGGACCCTGAGCTTGACTTGCAAAATAATCATGTCTGCATCATCACAATAGATCTCAATAGGAAAGTATAAACAACCGTTTATTCATAGTATTGCTATCAGGTGGCTACCACTGCCAAATCTTTCTTAGTACATGTAAACATATTTAATAGCATATATGATAATTATAAAACAAGCTGAAAATTTTTCATGCTGTCTGATGAATTCGGGCCTACGTCCAGGTTGGCCATAAGCTAATGCATGAAAATATTTCATCTTGTGTTTTATAATTCCCGTACATGTATATGATCCAACTACCAAGTTAATGAATATGTTTGCTCATATTTGATAACATTTTTAAAAAATCTGGAAAATAAATAGCGCCCCTCGCCACATCGTGCCTAGGTTAGTTGAGATCCATAGGAGTATATAACTTTATTTCATACACTGTAAGTTGTCTGACGCCCTCTTTTGTCACACTTCTTTGTTCAGTTGTCACTTTAAATGGATCGATTTTGTAAAAAAAGTCATATGAAAAGGACTGGCAAAGTATCATATTTGTGTAACAGCCTGTGGCCTGGTGTTCATGTTCAATGTCTGTAAATAAAAAAGATTATAATGTAACGACTATGTATTGCTGTTTTCATCATTTACTCAAATGACTCGGTGACATGAATCATATATTGAGAGCGACTTGGATGGTACGAAATTTTTGAGAGCTTTCGCAACATCTCAAAGCTAGCTAATGTTTGTAAATAAGATAGCAATCCTTAAAACTGTTGAAAACTACTAAATACAAACATCTAGGGTAAAACGGCCTAATAGGAGGAAGGAATTAGTGCACATTTTGGTCAACAGATCTGAGAGATATCAATAGAAACGAGAATCACTTTGCTGTGGTCTTTTGCGACTTCTTCATCCAGGGAAATATAATCGACCTTGCCAGCGTTAGGTTCGGCCGTCGACTTGGGTCGTGGGCTACAGACTGGAACCAAGATGAGGTTTTTCAAAGGTAAGGATCCTGATTTTCTTGAGGTAAATAGCGGGCCGCAGCGACCTTTTGATAATAAACAGCAACTATCTGAAAATATTGGGCAATGAGTCCATATAAAAAACAATCTCCCCTTAGCTTCATACTTTAGTATGAAGTACTGGACCGTTGGTTTGATACATGCCCATTGTGTGTTATGCACTGTTGGAGCATTGTGTTTTACGGTTCCGCAAGCCAAAATGAACTGTAAAATGAAGAGACCTAAGCCAGTTGCATTAAAAGTTTATGCTGCTTGCAAAATGCTAATACCAAACCCAGCCGGAAGACACGCGAAGATTATCACTGCAAGTGTTATTTTATGTAAATTCAGGTAACTAATCATGATGTAAATTCAAGTGGCCAA